AGTAGTGGATGGTGTGGGCAAGTAAATTAGTGGATGGTGTGGGCTAGTAAAGTAGTGGATGGTGTGGGCTAGTAAAGTAAGTGATGGTGTGGGCTAGTAAAGTAAGTGATGGTGTCGGCTAGTAAAGTAGTGGATGGTGTGGGCTAGTAAAGTAGTGGTTGGTGTCGGCTAGTAAAGTAAGTGATGTTTTCGGCTAGTAAAGTAGTGGATAGTGTTGGCTAGTAAAGTAGTGGATGGTGTGGGTTGGTAAAGTAGTGGGTGGTGTCGGCTAATAAAGTAGTGGATGGTGTGGGTTGGTAAAGTAAGGGATGTAAGGGATTGTGTAGGCTGTTAAAATAGCTAATATTGAGGTGTCGCCTGACTTGGATAAGAAGTTTAGAATATTAAATGCTACTGTATGAAATGACATAGAGTCAATACATATTGAACAAAGAATCTTATTTAAAAAAAGAAACAACAACTGTAAGCTAATCTAAAACGCTTGTACTTTTCGTTGCAATCAATTTTGTATGAGCAATAAAGAGGGAGGGTGCTATCGGTAGGTATAAAAGTTTAATATTACAATAAATCTATTTGTGGTGGTCTACTAAAAACTTTAAAGTGGGTGTATTTTTGTTCATTTATAAAAACAGTTTTGTATAGTACTATCGTCGGTAATACAAAGCTTTATTGTGTGACGTTTGAAATCGTTTGAGAAAATTTGTGGATCTGGATAAACACATCTCTCACTCGGCCACATTAGCTTCATCTTTTGACCGTTAAACAGAAACTTATAGCCAAAAGTAAATATCTGTGGCCATCAATGTGTGGCCATCAATGTGTGGCCATCAATGTGTGGCCATCAGTGTGTGGCCATCAATGTGTGGCCATCAGTGTGTGGCCATCAGTGTGTGGCCATCAGTGTGTGGCTATCAGTGAGTGGCCATCAATGTATGGCCATCATTACGTGGCTATAAATATTTGGCCATCAATGTATGGCCATCATTTTGTGGCCATCAGTGTGTGGCCGTTAAAGCGTGAAGATGAGCCGAGGATGAAGACAACAGGGGAAGTAAGCCCTCGGTGTAAGCAGGCATCAAGTAGTAGATAAACTTTAATTGTACGTCGTCGTTTTAGTTTCATGACTTATGTCAGCAGGAAAGCTGTAACATCACGACGGATAATTTCATGCTGATTGTTTTTTATGGAGTTTGTCCGAAAGTTCGCAATTTACTGATTATTTCAGAAAGATGGCGTTGACACTTTGTATGAGGAAGTATTTTAAATTGTCAACACGGCAATAAATGTAGAAATAAATGTGTCTGTAGTAGCCATACAATAAATGTAGTAAAAGTGTGTGTAGTAGCCATACAATAAATGTAGTAAAGGTGTCTGTAGTAGCCATAGAAAAGGTGTCTGTTTTAGCCATAGAAAAGGTGTCTGTAGTAGCCATAGAAAAGGTGTCTGTAGTAGCCATAGAAAAGGTGTCTGTGGTAGCCATAGAAAAGGTGTCTGTAGTAGCCATAGAAAAGGTGTCTGTGGTAGCCATAGAAAAGGTGTCTGTAGTAGCCATAGAAAAGGTGTCTGTAGTAGCCATAGAAAAGGTGTCTGTGGTAGCCATAGAAAAGGTGTCTGTGGTAGCCATAGAAAAGGTGTCTGTGGTAGCCATAGAAAAGGTGTCTGTAGTAGCCATAGAAAAGGTGTCTGTAGTAGCCATAGAAAAGGTGTCTGTAGTAGACATAGAAAAGGTGTCTGTGGTAGCCATAGAAAAGGTGTCTGTGGTAGCCATAGAAAAGGTGTCTGTGGTAGCCATAGAAAAGGTGTCTGTGGTAGCCATAGAAAAGGTGTCTGTAGTAGACATAGAAAAGGTGTCTGTGGTAGCCATAGAAAAGGTGTCTGTGGTAGCCATAGAAAAGGTGTCTGTAGTAGCCATAGAAAAGGTGTCTGTAGTAGACATAGAAAAGGTGTCTGTGGTAGCCATAGAAAAGGTGTCTGTGGTAGCCATAGAAAAGGTGTCTGTAGTAGCCATAGAAAAGGTGTCTGTAGTAGACATAGAAAAGGTGTCTGTGGTAGCCATAGAAAAGGTGTCTGTGGTAGCCATAGAAAAGGTGTCTGTGGTAGCCATAGAAAAGGTGTCTGTAGTAGCCATAGAAAAGGTGTCTGTAGTAGACATAGAAAAGGTGTCTGTGGTAGCCATAGAAAAGGTGTCTGTGGTAGCCATAGAAAAGGTGTCTGTAGTAGCCATAGAAAAGGTGTCTGTAGTAGACATAGAAAAGGTGTCTGTGGTAGCCATAGAAAAGGTGTCTGTGGTAGCCATAGAAAAGGTGTCTGTGGTAGCCATAGAAAAGGTGTCTGTAGTAGCCATAGAAAAGGTGTCTGTAGTGAATCCATTCTAAAACACCTGATTGATTACCCTAATGACGATTGGACAAATGAAATCAAAATCAATAATGAGGATGACGTCAATCAGTGTTCTGATGGTCTGCCCTATCTTGAGGGCAGATGAATCTTTAATTACCGCAACATATCAAAAGATTAGACGAAGCCTATATCTAACGTCAAGCATGTAACAGAGAGGTGAGCAGTGATCTACTGGTTTATTTATCTGCCTTTCAACAACAACAAAAATCTGGATGTAAAAACTGTTTCTCTATCCAAATAAAAGGTAATTACATATCTATGGATAAAAGTTGTTGCAAGCCTAGGAACTGTTTTTTTTTTACAAAACACAATCAAGAAAGTTAAGCGCTGCGGGGAAAAATATAAATTATAAAACAGTAGCTAAAAACAATACGCAATAATACGACGGTATCTCATTAAGATGAATATAATTCGATACATTTGTTTAGAAACAGCATCAGCAATAAATTAACTGACTTTATCAACAAAGTTTTAAAAAAATGGTACAATGATTACATCGTGTCATAGCACTTTCTAGATCATGCTAGCTAAAAGCTACGGGGGGAGGGGGGGGGGTCGATGACGTGGGCTCGATGATGGCTGTTATACAGCATATGGTGTCTCTTCCTCATATGCGGAGAAGAAAGTTGTGTTATCGTCAAATACAAAATTGGAATTGAATGTGAAGTTTTGACAAAGCTCGCCGTTTTTCACCTGCTAAGTCAAAAATAACAGTTTTTGCAACTTGATCTGCGTCTCTGTCAGTCTGTCTGTATGTGTGTGTGTGTGTGTGTGTGTTTGTGTGTAAACATAACAACCTGAGTATGATTTATTTAAGTAGACAAAGTTTTAGCATTAGTATTAGATAAACTAGTTAGATAAAATTCAGCTAATAAGATGAATTTCATCAAACTTGACATAAACACTGCACCCTTCCCGCGCGTTACTGCGATCTAGTCCGACACACCAGTGTGACGAAACATTTTATATAGGTCAACCATTCCGTACCTAACATGTATTTTTAGACGCGTGACCTGGTTTTTCTAAAGCTGAGTGATTTAAATGTAATAACAGCCTGCGCTATATTTCTTGGATTTTAGATGTTGGGGCTATGTGACGTTGTATTTTTTTTAGATCAATAGAAACTTTTTTCCTTTTCACTGTTTCAGTGACCTTGGGCTAAGATTTGACGGGTACCTATCAAAGCTGGGAGGACTCAGAGACGCTTAATGACTCTAGTCTGGGGTCCTAACTCGAGTGCTCTATTTAACAGTCGTTTACACTAGCAAACGACCACGCAATCCCACTCTACCAATAGTATATGACGGAGCCGTTAATGACGTCGCTACGCTCAAACTTGGCTCTATCAGATGTAAGTTTTGTAGTCTAGTAACGTTAGTGTCTTTCTACTACAATTGGTGTCTACTACTATTGGTGTCTGCCTACTACCATTGGTGTCTACCTACTACCATTGGTGTCTACCTACTACCATTGGTGTCTACCTACTACCGTTGGTGTCTGCCTACTACCATTGGTGTCTGCTTACTACCATTGGTGTCTGCCTACTACCATTGGTGTCTGCTTACTACCATTGGTGTCTGCCTACTACCATTGGTGTCTGCTTACTACCATTGGTGTCTGCCTACTACCATTTGTGTCTGCCCATACCATTGGTGTCTGCCTACTACCATTTGTGTCTGCCCATACCATTGGTGTCTGCCTACTACCATTTGTGTCTGCCCATACCATTGGTGTCTGCCTACTGCCATTGGTGTCTGCCCATACCATTGGTGTCTGCCTACAATTCTTGGTGTTTTCCATTTACCGATTCTGCAACAACCTTGCCCTACTTAGTGTAGGTATGACAGACAAAACGACAACAGAAATTTGGAAGGTTTCAGCCCGCTGTTATTCTGCTTCTGTTGATTATTTTCTCAGTAAAACAACCGGACCAGAGATATTTTGGGGACATGGAGGGGTTGGGGTGGGGATGGAATAAGGCGATCAAGGGTGTTCGGCTTTTGTTTCAAATAAACTTAGCACGCTGTAATCTAGTTTTGTCAACAAAATATGGCAACTTAATAATGGTAACCTAATTTAGAATGGTTTATTTAGCCCGGAATATGCTCCTATAAATATCGAAAATAACATCCTTAAAGTACCCCTGGTTTTATCCCCAATACTGTACCAGGAATCGGTTTTATTAAATCCATAACACCAGTAAGAGATTAGAATTAAAAAAATATTTTACAGGAAACCAGAAATTCTGAAGCTAATCAAATGAAAATACAATGTAGAATGAATGTTTTGATTGCGTGATCTCTGTAAATAATGAAATGAAAAAAAAAGCAACCCACAAAACAAAACAGAAAAACTAGACTAAACTAGACAACAGCTGAGTCAACTAGGCATGACCTAACTAAAGTAGACATGACCTAACTAAACTAGACATGACCTAACTAAAGTAGACCTGACCTAACTAAACTAGACATGACCTAACTAAACTAGACATGAATTAACTAAACTAGACATGACCTAACTAAACTAGACATGACCTAACTAAACTAGCCATGACCTAACTAACCAGACAGTACGAGAAGAGTGTGACACCATCAACTTACCGAGAAAGCCGATGGTGAAGGCGAGAGCGTAGAGCACAATGAGGAATATGATGAAGGGATCCTGGTGTTGGTAGAACATGAAGTCTTGGAGGTCCTGTAAGGAGAGCATCTTATTGTCACATTCCAGACCCAACATATGAGAGCATCTTATTGTCACATTCCAGACCCAACATATGAGAGCATCTTATTGTCACATTCCAGACCCAACATATGAGAGCATCTTATTGTCACATTCCTGACCCAACAGAGGAAACAATGGCGCGGCTACTTGACTGAGTTATTGCTTCATATTTTCCTGACATTTAAACTGTTTATTTTTGCTATCAAATTTCAAATCAGTTGAAGTGCAGTCTTGAAACTGGAACAAAGGCGTCAAATGTGCTTTAATAATCAACGCGTTGAGGAATTGATGAGGTCACGTGGCCCATCGGACACCAGCAAGAAGGTTGACAGAATCACGTGACATGTTGAGTAATTCGATACTACAGTTATAAGCGTCTGATAGAATCACTTTGAATGTTTAATCTTTCGATATTACATTTATAAGCGTCAGATAGAATCACGTGGATACTACAGTTATAAGCGTCTGATAGAATCACTTTGAATGTTTAATCTTTCGATATTACATTTATAAGCGTCAGATAGAATCACGTGGATACTACAGTTATAAGCGTCTGATACTATCACTGAATGTTTAATCTTTCGATATTACAGTTATAAGCGTCAGATAGAATCACGTGGATACTACAGTTATAAGCGTCTGATGCTATCACGTTGAATGTTAAGTCATTCGATACTACAGTTATAAGCGTCAGATAGAATCACGTTGTATGTTAAGTCATTTGAGACTACAGTTATAAACCTCTGATAGAATCACGTTGGATGTTAAGTCATTCAATACTACAGTTATAAGCGTCAGATAGAATCACGTTGTAGGTTAAGTCATTCGATACTACAGTTATAAGCGTCAGATAGAATCAAGTATTTTGTTAAGTCATTCGATACTACAGTTATAAGCGTCAGATAGAATCACTTTGAATGTTAAGTTATAAGCGTCTGAAGCCCGGGCTAGGTATGTTTGTTTGGTGGCGTTAAATGATCAATACAACTCTTCATCGTGTATTGGTGTAGGTGTAAATAATTTAAGGAACCGGGTATGGTTAATGAAGCGGGTATTTAAACAAATCTGAGGTGTATTGATTGTAAATCATGGTCTGTGGGGCGATCGTATTGGGACTTAAGGTAATAGGTAAGTAGGGACAGCCTACCTCAAACATTGACAACCTACCTCAAGCATTGACAACCTAAACATTGACAACCTAAACATTGACAACCTAAACATTGACAACTAACCTTAAACATTGACAACCTAATCATTGACAACCTAAACATTAACAACTTAAACATTGACAACCTAAACATTGACAACCTAAACATTGACAACCTAAACATTGACAACCTAAACATTGACAACCTAAACATTGACAACCTAAACATTGACAACCTAAACATTGACAACCTAAACATTGGCAACCTAAACATTGGCAACCTAAACATTGACAACCTAAACATTGACAACCTAAACATTGACAGCCCACCTCGAACATGTTTCCTGTGAATGTCGACAGGTTCGTATGTACGTAGACACTCCTGTTGGCAGGTGTACGTGACCCTGCAGGATCCTGTGACCCTGCAGGATATCTACTGCCTGCAGGGTCACTGTTGCCTGTCGTGTTGACATTAAAGTAAACAACCAAACGATGATTAACGTCACCCATGATGCTGCTAGAGGATGTTCTTTTATTTCTGAAATAGAGGAATAAACTGTTAAATGAAAAAAATATCTTTGGATGATCTATGTATTGATAAACATCAGCCCGCAGCTGATAATTTGATAATAGTGGGATGAAAACAAACGATTTTATTGAACAAGCGATCGAACATAAAGTATCTGAGTTGATGTCCAATATTGCTACTTTAAATAAAGACAGACGTTTTGTGGTGAAATTATTTTAAAATTGGTCAACTATTTCGCCGAGTTAATGAGAACACGCGACAGACCTCTCTTGAAATGTTTTCGCCAATAAATAATAAATATTTGAATATTGCACCGGCGCAAAATGATAAATAGAAAAAAAGAGCATGAATTTACTCAATTGCTAATCTTGAGCGGCGAAAGAATTTATGAAACTGTTTACCCGGGTAAGCTGATCGTTCCTAGCTGTTAATCTGGTTACTAGGGTGACAGGGGCGGTAATTCTATATCCGGAGCGTACTCTAGTAGGCCTCAGTTAAAGCACAAATAGTGTCACGATTTACTTGAGGGACTAGTGCAAAAAGAACAAATACACAAAAAGGGTCACGACTGGTGCACCAAGCACACATACACATAGAGTGTCACCATTTACTAGACAGACTAGTGCACTATTGTTCACATGCCAGATGTTATATAAGAGACTCATGTCAAACAACAAAAGCTAAATCACATTAGCTGCACGATACAACATTGAAGGTACACTCTAGCTCTAAACCTAAGCCTTTAGGATGAGACACAAATCGCAGTAATAACGAACATCAAGACCAATTATTCATACACAAATCTTCATTCAGACCCAATATTTTCTAACCTTTCATGCTGAGTAATTTGAGCTACAACATAATCTCCAAACAAATAAATCGAGAAAAACAAATCTTCAAAAAGTATACTTGACCAAAATACACTTCGATCACTAATGATCCGAATGAATGAAGTCATTAATGAAGTATTAAAGACGAAACGAAAAGCCAACATTATAAAAAGTTTCGAATCTTTTTGGCTTGAAATTTTACACCGGCTGATAAACTTTTTTAAATGTCCAAGTTGGTGGTGTCAAACTAGTAAAAAGTTGTGAGAAATTGATGCTTTTAGATTACCTTCACAGGAAAAAATTGTTTGGCATAATGGCATAATTAACGCGGCCATTTGTTGTATAAAGTCTGCCTAAAATTTAAATGCAAAACATTTTTTATGGAAGAAATGCATTATAGCAGCAAATGTGCAAAATTTGTAGAGATATTCTGAATTAAGGTCAGTTTTTCGTTAGGGAACTAATGCTAGTTTGTCCTCTGGACCCAATATTAGCTCTTCACCCTTCCATCCTTGGTTTACTCTTACTGATTTACATTTGTCTGATTGTTTACTCTTACTGATTTACATTTGTCTGATTGTTTACTCTTACTGATTTACATTTGTCTGATTGTTTACTCTTACTGATTTACATTTGTCTGATATTTTAAAACATTTTTTCTATTATTGACGATCAGTGTTATAGGGCACCTAAAGTTGTCAACATATTTCGTTGTTAAAAAAAAGGATGAAACATTTTTAAAAATCTGGTCTTTAAAACCATCGACCACAAGACAAACATCAAGTATGAGATAAGACAGGTTGGGCTATAGCAACTCTCGTTCTTTTAGACAGGTTGGGATGGAGCAGCTCTTGTTCTTTTACGTCTGAACGTGTTTTGGTTTCGTTTGAAAACTTTTAGGAACAAAATGAGATCAGTATAGAATTACTACACTAGATGAGAAACTAAAATTGGTCATTCAGTAAATTAAAGACCAAAATAAACTGGATCGATGTTGTTGAACGAAGGTCTGATTGAATCAGATCGATGTCTTATAAATATACCACCTGTTTAATTGTATACTAGCAGGAGAAAAAAACAGAGTTAATCTCTGGATTACTATAGACCAGCAGTAGAGATTATCCTTGACATTCACCATGTTAGCAGTATAGATACAATATTTACAAAAGTCAACTCTAGCGGTGTGTTAGTTTTTGAAAGTCAACTCTAGCGGTGGGATAGTTTGTGAAAGTCAACTCTAGCGGTGTGTTAGTTTTTGAAAGTCAACTCTAGCGGTGTGTTAGTTTTTCAAAGTCCACTCTAGCGGTGGGATAGTTTGTGAAAGTCAACTCTATAGGTGGGATAGTTTGTGAAGTCAACTCTATAGGTGGGATAGTTTGTGGAAGTCAACTCTATGGGTGGGATAGTTTGTGGAAGTCAACTCTATGGGTGGGATAGTTTGTGAAAGTCAACTCTATGGGTGGGATAGTTTGTGAAAGTCAACTCTATGGGTGGGATAGTTTGTGAAAGTCAACTCTATGGGTGGGATAGTTTTTGAAAGTCAACTCTATGGGTGGGATAATTTATGCAAGTGATCCCTAAGAAAATGGCCATCATCATGCAGCACCACGCTATTTTATTTTAATTTGCTGCATATCTTTGCTGAAACAGAATCACAATAGGCAGAGCTAATTATTTATGTGACAGTGCGGACAATATTTCAACTTTTTTATCAATGGGAATGTAATCTTTTAAAACTAGGATTGTCTTTTCTTGAAAGTTGATGAAGTTTTAAACCGCTAGTTTTATGGGATTGTCGTTTCTCCTTGTTCCCTATCCTCAAGTGAGATAACTCTCTGTTTTTTGAAAATAAGATTTATCGAACTTTCTGTCCGAGTAATGTGCCCTTGCCTCCCCCAGAGAACTGAAGGAGGGGAGGAGAGTCTATTAGTTTGATGTGTTTCCAGTTAAGGAGGAGCGATGGAGACAAAGTCAATGACCTTTACACACTGACAGACTCCTAGATACTGGCTCACAAACTGATGGACTCATCTCACGTGGATAAAAGGTTGTCACGTTTGTACAATGTTGTCACGTGGATACAATGTTGTCACGTGGATACAATGTTGTCACGTGGATACAAGGTTGTCACGTGGATACAATGTTGTCACGTGGATACAAGGTTGTCACGTGGATACAAGGTTGTCACGTGGATACAATGTTGTCACGTGGATACAAGGTTGTCACGTGGGTACAAGGTTGTCACGTGGATACAATGTTGTCACGTGGATACAAGGTTGTCACGTGGATACAAGGTTGTCACGTGGATACAATGTTGTCACGTGGGTACAAGGTTGTCACGTGGGTACAAGGTTGTCACGTGGGTACAAGGTTGTCACGTGGATACAAGGTTGTCACGTGGGTACAAGGTTGTCACGTGGATACAATGTTGTCACGTGGATTCAAGGTTGTCACGTGGATACAAGGTTGTCACGTGGATACAAGGTTGTCACGTGGGTACAAGGTTGTCACGTGGGTACAAGGTTGTCACGTGGGTACAAGGTTGTCACGTGGGTACAAGGTTGTCACGTGGGTACAAGGCTGTCACGTGGATACAATGTTGTCACGTGGATACAAGGTTGTCACGTGGATACAATGTTGTCACGTGGGTACAAGGCTGTCACGTGGGTACAAGGTTGTCACGTGGGTACAAGGTTGTCACGTGGATACAATGTTGTCACGTGGATACAAGGTTGTCACGTGGATACAAGGTTGTCACGTGGATACAATGTTGTCTCGTGGGTACAAGGTTGTCACGCGGTTGCAGGTAATTCATCAAAGTATATCATAACGTAGGAGAAGATGTTTCTTCAACTGTTTTTACATTCGTTAAAACTGCTATCCCATAATCACCTTTAGCAACTAGCTAATAATGACGTGACCTCCACCAACGTATAGAACGTATCAAATAAGCTGAACTAATGTCAACCATTTTGCTCATAGAGTAGATATAGAACATATCACATAAGCTAAACTAATGTCAACCATTTTACTCATAGAGTAGATATAGAACATATCACAGAAGCTGAACTAAAACATATCACGTAAGCTGAACTGACGTCAACCATTTTACCCATAGAGTAGATATAGAACATATCACATAAGCTGAACTAGAACATATCACATAAGCTGAACTAGAACATATCACATAAGCTGAACTAATGTCAACCATTTTACCCATAGAGTAGATATAGAACATATCACATAAGCTGAACTAGAACATATCACATAAGCTGAACTTATGTCTACAATTTTACCCATAGAGTAGATATAGAACATATCACATAAGCTAAACTAATGTCAACCATTTTACCCATAGAGTAGATATAGAACATATCACATAAGCTGAACTAGAACATATCACATAAGCTGAACTAATGTCAACCATTTTACCCATAGAGTAGATATAGAACATATCACATAAGCTGAACTAGAACATATCACATAAGCTGAACTTATGTCAACAATTTTACCCATAGAGTAGATATAGAACATATCACAGAAGCTGAACTAAAACATATCACATAAGCTGAACTTACGTCAACAATTTTACCCATAGAGCAGATTTCTATCATGTCACAGAAGCTGAACTAATTAAAATTCAATTAAATACAAAGAGCAGATAACAAGATAAAATACAAATTGACGACGGTGCACAGTTGGTTACAGCTAGTTGGTTTACATATGAGAGATTACAAAGGACATATTCTTCTTCTTATTCTTCTTCTTCTTCTTCGTTCTTAATTGTATGTCGGACCGGATTTCGACCAACACAATTAAGTATTACATGTCGACATGTTTATGTGTTTATACGCCATATGTGCCATATAGAAATTGTATTCGAGTTTTCTTCACCTAGGTAGGTTGCTGTCCCCTGCTGTCGAGCCTCGTCTGCCCGGGGGTCGAACTCAGGATCTCGCAAGTCGGGGTTTAAAACACAACTGGTTTAGTAGCATGTTGGGTCGACTACATTAAGGACAAACGCAATAAAAAAGTTAGATCTATTGACTGTTTTCAGAAACTTAAATATCGAATTATTTTTTAATTTAAATTATTTAATATTTTTTAATAAATAATATATTTTTTAATAAGAATAATAAAAAAAATTAAATGCAACTATTGTTTTCTTTGAGAAAAAGA